TGGGTGCCATAAATTGAGAGAAATGTAGTTTTTGACCCCTTTAAAAAAATATTTGGTCATTTGCCCCTCAGTCATCTGTCGCTAGCTCCGCCACTGGTAGGATCGATGAATGGAGGGATAACTAGTTGCAAGTTGCCAAAAAAAGAGATGGTGGCCCAGCGATGAGGTGCCAACCATAGCATGCAATCCGAGTTCAAGAGGTGGAGCACGGGATAGATGCAATCTTTGCAAGGGAAATCATGAACACTAACCCACACAACCACACAAATTATGAGCAACTCCACATGGAATCATGAGAATAAAGGTAGCAATAAGTCTCCAATCTCACGATGAGTCTTATGCCTTCGTCTATTAATAGAAATACCAAAAGTCCTCTATGAATGAATGCACTAATCTATTTATATTGGGGACACCCCTCCAATATGTGTGAAAGCAAACTAGCTTCGAGAACCAACATAGGTGTGAAAACCGAACTAGCTTAGAGCATCTCTAGCCGCGCCCCAAACAGCCCCCATGCCACTTTTTTGGCGCAAAACGCCGCAGTCGCGCCCACAGGACGTCGAAAAGCGCAGGTTCGGCCCGTTTTTGGGCACAGCGGTCGCAGGCCGAACCCGGCGCACTGGGGGGCGATCGGGGGCTCCGGCACAAGGGAAAAGCGCGGTTGGCCCACACCGTCAGGTGAAAAGTCAAGTTTTTCTTCCCCGACTCGCCTCCCACCCCCCGCGCACTCGGCCGTCACTAGCTGTATCCCGGCGCCGCCCGCCGCCCTTCACCGCTAGATAGCCAATCCTTGCCGGAAAAATAGCAGAGGTTCGCCGAGGCAGCCCCTCCACCAGCAGCTGGGCGTTTTCGGCAGCCGTTTCTGGCCACGGAGGGGCAGTTTAGCGGCGAGTACACGCCCGCCGGGCGCAAAGTGTTCGGCGATTTGCCTGCCTCGGCGATGGACTCAGATGACGAGGAAGCGCCCGCCGCGCTGCTGGAGGAGGAAGCCGAGGCCGACGTCCAGGAAGAAGAGCATCTCATGGTGCTCGCCGCCCTCGCCCAGCTGCTGGCGAGCAATGAAAAGCCGCAGCGAGGTGGCTCGGCGCCGGAGCGGGTGAAAGCAAAGAACCGACATCGTCTCGAAGGCTACTGCATCACTACTAGGGAAAAGCCTATACACAGAATCTTACCAGCAGCGCGCTTTAAAATTAGGCGCTGCTGCTAAGTAGCAGTAGCGCGGGCTATAGAAACTCGCTGCTGAAACAAGTTTATCAGTAGCGCGTGCACTCGAAGAAGCGCTACTGCTAAAATTCCCACGACGCCGCCGCGAGGCCAGTTATAGCAGTAGCGCGTTAAACTAAACAGCGCTACTGCTACATAACTCAGGCAATAATCGCTACTGCTAAATTAACTATAAAAATTTAGTCCCACCTCGCTCCGTGAAGAGAGTTTTACCCACCTTAAATATGTTTCTTCTACAACTTTCACAAGCACTTGGTCTTCATTGAACTCTATGTGTAGGATCTGTGGCCGCAATAGGAATCCTCGCCAGTTCTTAAACCAACCGGCGAGGATTCCTATTGACAAATCGGATTATACACAAAAGACCATTGATGATCAATGTATTTTTTATGTCTATATCTATTTTTACATACTGACACATAGCAGTAGCGCGTTCACGACGAAAGGCGCTACTGATAGGTCGTTTAGCAGTAGCGCATTTCCCTATAGCGCGCTACTGCTATGCCATTCCATCTCCCCCACTCACTAGCCTCATCCACAGATCACACTCACACACACTCACTCGGTCTCCTCCTCACCCCCCGCGCCGCCGGTATCCCCCGTCGCCCCTCCCCCGATCTGCACCGCTGTCGCCTCATCCTCCTCGCTGGACTCGGTACCGACCTCCTCCTCCGTCCTCCCTCCACTCGCCGCTGGCCGGCCCCTCCTCGCTCCGCCTTCCTCCTTGATCCGTCCTTCCTCCACTCGCCGCCGGCCGGCCCCTCCTTGCTCCGCCTTCCTTCTCCGTCCTACTATCTTCTCCCTCCTCGAGTCGCCCCTCCTTGTCCCTCCTCCCTGATACATTTTGATTTAGTAGGCTTTCATATGTAACATTTTGAATTAGTTGATATGATCCAGTTGATTTAGTAGGCTAGTTGATTTAGTTGATTTAGAATATTTTGATTTAGTTTATTTAGTAGGCTAGTTGATTTAGTAGGCTAGTTGATTTAGAACATTTTGATTTAGTTGATTTAGTATGCTAGTGGATTTAGTATGCTAGTTGATTTAGTTGATTTAGTATGCTCGATTTAGTTTTTTTGTAATAAGTTATTTTTTGGCAAAATGTAGGTGCCACTTTAGTTAAATTTGCCACTTGTTTGTTTAAACAATTATCTTAGGCAATAGGGGCCAAATTAGGATTATAATTGTCCATAAAATTGTTTCTCGCGGAAGAACCAAAAATATCACATGCTACTGTTTTTCTTTCCTATGAAGTGAATCGTTAATCCTTTGCTCATATTGCTTTAGGAAAATGGCGCCACCACCAGCACCACTATGTCGACTGTGCAAGTCAAGGTGCGCCAGCAGCCTTGCAACTGGCAAGCTGTTCGGCATCTACTTCCATCCGAGTTTTCGTCATGCGGCGGTAAGAAATTAGATGAAATGTAACAACTATTTTATTTTTAGTGTTGACATTACTGCATTGTGTCATTTTGCTTTTCTTACACAGATCGTCCCATGCAATGTGAGGTTGAAATTCAACAAGCTGACAGGAGACACTGTGACATTTGAGGCTCCTGGGGGGCCGTACACTATGGAGGTCGAGAAATGACGCAATATGTCGCAGATTGGAGGAGATGGATGGGCCCGTTTCCTTGCTCGGATGCGTCTTACTGGCGGTGAGTTGATCAGATTCTCCTTCAGAGCAGAAAGACCCAAGCTGGTTGTCATTTATATCAACCTGGTGGAAGATGATGAATATGACGAAGATGATGAAGATAATGAGGACCCACTCAATAAAGATGATGAGAACCCACTTCATGAAGCCATCATAGCTCAAAGAATGAGGCTGAGCGAGGAGGTGTGCAACCTATGGGACATAATTCCGCCACATGATGACTTTGTTGGGGTGCCATTCGTGACCCGCCTGACAAGTACCATGGTCGATCGGCATGAAATGGTATGTTATACGTACTGCATGTAGTAATTTGATGATATATATATATATATGCTTTATAGTTATCCTTACAAATGAAAATTATCCGATTATATGCTTAGTGAATCCGATGATATGCTTAGTGTAGAGTCCAATGATATGCTTTGTGGAATCTAGTCAATGATATACTTTAGTGTAGAGTCTGATCACATGCTTATTAGTGTAGAATCCAAGGAACTATTAATAGTGTAGATAATCCATATATACTTATTAGTAGAATTCATGATTAATTAGTACAAATGCGTAGTACTGTGTCTTTTGATAGTGTAGAAATCTAGACTTAATAGAAATATATTTGCAAGAGTATGTGTGAGGCTATTTATTAATTGATATGTTTTTCTTATTCAGAGATTGCCAAAGAACCAATCTGTGAGTTGTGGTATCGAGCCTGATGAAGAAGGCTCAGTTGGACTACGCCTTACCCCAAGGGGCTCCATCACCACCTGTACTTACCGCATGGACACAGATGGTCGCACACACTTGAACTCGGTTGGGTGGAAGAGATTCCTCGTTGGCAAG